ATGAGCACAAAAATAAGAAAACAAATGCTGGGCACTGCAAAGGAGGAAGAGAAGGAGGGCGGATAAGGGCCACACAACCACTCATTGGGTACCATGACCACTACCAGGGGAAGAGAAGTCTCATTATAAGCCCATGCCTCACCTGCACACAATTTGCTTATACAATAAATCCTCACATGTACCCCACAACTCAAAAATAAATAAATAAATAGAAAATAATAAAAGGAAATATAAAGTTCAAAAAACATTTGATCTCCAAATATTTTTATGATTTTCCAACTACATTTCTGTTATGAGTTTCTAGTTTAATTTCATTTTTTTGACCTGAGAGCAAACAAAAATATCATTTCTGGTTTTCTAAATGTCTTAAGGTATATTTCATGGCCGAGAATGTGGTCTGTAATGAATGTTCCTTGTGAGCTTGAGAAGAATGTATGTTATGCTGTTGTTAGATAAAATCGTCTAAAGATGTCCATTATTTCCTTGATTGAGGTCAACAACATTCTTACTGATTTCCTGCCTGCTGGATTTATTCATTTTTGATAGAAGTGTGTTAACAATTCCATCTATGATAGTGAATTCATCTATTTGTTTTTGCAGTTCTACCTGTTTTGGCCTCATATATTTTGATGTTTTGTTGCTAGGCACACGCATGTTAAAGACTGTGGTGTCTTTTTGCATAATTAACTCCTGTTTTTGCTTTAATGCCTCACTTTATTGCTTATAATTGTCTTTGTTCTGACATTTGTTTTGTGTAAAATTAATATAGCTAATCCTGCTTTTTAAAATTAGTGTTAACATGGCATATATTTCTTCATCTCTTTAATTTTAACCTACCTAAGTCATTACTTTTAAAGTACAATTCTTACAAGCAGCATATAGATTTTTTTTAATCATGATGACATGATTGTCTTTTATTTGGTACATCTAGATTATTTAATGCAATTGTGAACATATTTTATTAAAACCAACTACACCCATAAATGTTTTCCATTCATTGAATTATTCTTTGTTTCTTTGCCTCTGCTTTTCTGCCATCTGTAGTTTTAATTGAGCGTTTTATATCCTCTCTTACATACCGATTATACTCATTTTGTAAATTTTTTAACTGGTCGTGGTGGTTAATTTTATGTGTCAACTTGGCAGCACTACAATGACAAATATGTGATCAAGCATTATTCTGAACGCTTTTGTGAGCGTATTTCTGGATGAGATTAACATTTAAATTGGCGGACTTTGAGTAAGAAAGATGAGTGGGCATCCTCCAATGAACTGAAGGCCCAGACAGAATAAAAGACTGATCTCCTCTAAGTAAAAAGGATTTTGGCAGCAAACTGCCCTCAGGCTTGAACTGCAGCATTAATTGCTCATTGGGCTTCCAGCCTGCCAAACTACTCCGCAGATTTTGGACATTCTAGTCTACATAATTGCATAAACCTGAAAAAAGTAAATCACATTTACCTTTTAAAAGTAAATCTTTATATACACACATCCTATTGGTTCTGTTTCTCTGGAAAATTCTGACTAAAACAGATTTTTGTACTTGGGATGATTTTAAAGAAACTAAATCTTAAGCATGATTTTTTCTGGCATTTCTGTAATGGGTTACCTATTTTGATTAGATTTAAAGGCACCTAAAAACTCTACTTTTAGTAATAAAGAGAGTACTGACAGTCCATGGCATGATGTAGCAGTAGAAATCCACAAAATGTTATCATTGGATATTCCTAATCAAACACTTGTAAGAGGCAAGGATCTGGGTGACCATGATGATACCTTCACACATTCTTCTTTAAGTAATGAGCATAATTACATTGGCTGACTGCTCTGAATTAAGCAGATAATGTGAGGAAATAAAAGAATGAGCTCAGGAATTCAAATTTCCAGTTCAAGCAACACACAAGTGACCTGAAAGCTTAGATTTCTACCCTGAAAGTGTCTTTTGTCTCCTGTAGCCTCAGGACTGAGATTGCTAAAAGCCAGACCCAGTGAATGGCTGACTTACAGTGAAAATTAACCCCCCCAACCTCCGCTTCCAAAGTGTTTACTGTTAAAGTGAGGGCATTAGTTAAGAAGGAATAGGATTCTGAAAGCTGAAATGGGGATGTATGTGAAGAACCTGATGAAGCTGGAGACATTCTACTAAGGTTGCTTCTTTATTTGTATTTTCATTTTTTGCTGTTTTTGTTTTTTGCTGGTAGAAGCAGCCTCTCACCCTGCATCTGAGGGGAGTAATCCTGCATTGCCTGAGGGAACTATAGCAGCCTTCCATGGGGCAGCTGCCACCTCTTTTTGCTCCTAGACCTAAAAGTGTGGTGCAAAGTGCGACCCATGAGGAAGTGTGCTACACCCCAAAAGAACTACTTAAGTTTTCTAAATTATACAGACAGAAATCCAGAGAATATGTGTGGGAATGGATATGGAATTTTTGGAATAATAGTGGAAGGAACATAAAATGTAATCAGGCTGAATTTATTGATATGAGCGTACTGATTCTGCATTTAATGCTGCAGCTCAGGAAGTTAAAAAGAGCTTCAACAGTTTGATTGATTGGTTAAAACATGTACCAAAAGGTGGCCCATCTTTGGAAAGTGAACTTGGACTGCAAGGTTCGCTATGATTTGGTGAGAGAAAGGAATGTAAAGGCTTAAAGACATGGAAGTGTTCGACAAAATTTGTCATTTAAGACATATTCACTATGGGCTGGCCCAAAGGACACAACTTGTCACCATGACTGTGAGAAATACATTTGTGAGGGAAGCCTCAGCATCCTGGAAGAGCTCTATGATCACTCCTCTCTGTACGGTGGGAGCTGCAATGCTGAACTGGGAAACCTAAATGCAATGAGAGTAGTTGGATCTCAGGGTGGTAGGGGCCAAGGGGCAGCACCCAACTGCCAAACACAAGGTGGACATAGTTACTGTAATGGACAGTAGAGTCAAAGCAGTGATCAGAACATTCTGACTTGTGCAGAGCTATGACAGTGGCTGGTTAATCATGGTGTTCCTAGAAGAGAAATAGATAAGAAAACTACTAAGTTCTTACTTGATATATATAAGCAGAAAAGTTCTAGATCAAGTGAACAAAGGTCTACCGTGAGTGGTAAAAACAGAGTCATGGCCTTTCAGTCAGTTTTCAGACTTGAGCCCGTCTGTAGGCCCAGAACCCCTTGAATGAAGAGAAGGTCAAGTTCCTTTGATAAAGTCAATACACTACCAAAATATGTATATTGTTCATCTTTCTCCTTGTCTTCTCCAAAGAGACCCACAGCTTTTACCAGTTAACTATGCACTGGGGAAAAGGAAATAATCAGAACTTTCAGGGACTGCTGGACGCTGGTTCTGAACTAACATTGATTCTAGGAAACCTGAAAGGTCTCTGTGATTCAGAAATCATAGGAGGGGCTTATGGAGGCCAATCGATTAGGGAGTTTTAGCTCAGGCCCATCTCACAGTGGGTCCAGTGGGTTCCTACAGTCATCTCATGCTCATTTTCCCAGTTTCAGGACACACGATTGAAACAGACCTACTTCGTAGCTGGCAGAGTCTCTATGTTGGTTCTCCAAACTCTGGAGCAAAGGCTAGTGTGGGGGAAAAAAAGTCCAATTGGAAGCCACTAGAACTACCTCTACCTAGGAAAATAGTAAATCAGAAGCAAGATCCCATTCTTGGAAGGATTGTCCAGACTAGCACCACCCTCAAGAACATGAAAGATGCATGGGTGGTTATTCCCACCACACAACCCCCACTGAACTCTACTAGTTGATCTATGGAGATGGATCTTGGAGAGTGACAGTAAATCATTGCAAGTTTAGCCAGGTGGAGACTCTAACTGCAGCTGCATTTGGTTTCATTGTCCGAGCAAATTAACACATCTCCAAGATTGAACACAATAGCCAAGCAGTTTGGGAGGCCAAGGCAGGAGAACTGCTTGCGCCCAGAAGCTTGAGAACACATGTCCTGATACCTGGCTCTCTCGATCTGTCCCACATTGGGCTGAACTCTGTGCTTGAAATGATTAGTCTGAACGCTGAGTTCACAGCTCAGTCTTGAGGGCAGAGCAGAGAGGATGGCAGCCTGGCAGTTGGGTTGGAGGGTTAGGCAGAGACCCAAGAAAGTGAGCTGGGGCCTCCATGGAAAAGTCAGAATAGCAGGGAGACCACCAGCACTGCCACACTCGGGTGTGTAAGATGAGAGACGCAGCCACGAATTCCAGGTCTCCTGAGAGGTCTGCCCGGGGTGAGGAGAGGCTCGGACTTTCCCTAAGGCAGAGTCCAGGAGGCAAGAGTCCAATAGGCAGAGTCCAGGAGGCAAGACTGGAGGCGGCTAAGAGGCCAGGATCCTCTGAGATGGACGAGGTGCCAGAAAAGGTGTGGAATAGATAGTCAAGAGTCAGGAGGGGCAGCATCGGGCAAGCCAAGCGGGCACAGTTTTAAGGAAGAACTCTAAGGAGAGAAGACCACTGTGATCAACTCTCAATTGTGGAAACAGAAGTGACAAGAGGATGCCGGGAGCCCTGTGGAGGAAGAAGGCTGAGAGGGAGGGAGAGAGAGGAAAACGTTAGGGAGTGAAACCAAGGAAAGGTTTCTGGCTTGCGTGTAGGAAGGAAGAACCCCTGACCTATTTCTAAGTTGAAGGGAAGGGACCGACCAAACCGAGTTGAGATGAGACTAAGGACCCTGGGGAAGATGCAGGCTAATTGACAGGTGGGACGGGGATGCTCAGCCTGGCCCAGGCAGAGCAGGAGGTCCCAGTACCACTGGAAATCTTGGGGCAATCAGAGCAAAACCTGGGGCAGTCGCGACAAGGAGCTCTGCAGACTGAAACACCATCTGGATATCGCAAAAGCACAAAACTTCACCAGGAAGGTGAGGATGAAGGACCAAGGGATTCCAGGAACAAAGACGATCTCTTTCAATAAGTGTCCACAGCGATGACAAGGTTTCCATGTGAAATATTTATTCCAAGTATGCTTCTGTTCCGTACACATGTTTAGCAATATAACATTTCAACAGGTAGCAACATCACCACATGTAACTTTACAAATGCAACATTTTAACTTTCCCTGAAAAGTTACATCAGACCTGGATCTGTGGAATATATGATTTAAACTGTCCTTCGAGCCACCTGAAAAATCACTGCTTCCTGTCTGATTTTGCATTTTCTAGGCAGTGTTTCTCCATGCTCTTTCAAAACAGAAGCACAAACTTTGGAAGAGTTGAAATACAAGTATTGATCACAGCATCATGAGAAGTGTTTCATGATATACAAATGAACACAGAACAAGTTGCTGTGCAGAAAAAAAAAATAAACTTACAGTGAATAAATAAACTAACATTTTTTTATATCAAGTAATATGCAGAGTATAAAAAGTGTTCTCTCTATATATACATATACATATATATAAAATGTGTATGTGTTCTAGAGTATAAATATGCTATATACTTAAATATTTCATGTGAAGCAACATGGTTGTATCCGTTTTCAGCTTTGTCACTTGGAGTATTGATCGCAGTTGATATTCCCTCTGGCCTCCGGAGACCCTGGGATCTTCTCCCCATTCCAAGGGTAGACACACCAGCAACGCCCTACCTCTCCGCTCATGGACGTCTCACACTGCAAAGACAAGACCAAGGTCAAGAGCAGCAACGAGGAGCTGACAGGGAAGGTGGTGCAATGGCTGACCCTTCTCTCAGTGCAACTGAGTGCTACGGAGCTGAGCTGAGAGCCAGGGCCATGCCACCAGCTGCCTGAGATAGGGCAGATTTAACACCCACTCCAGTTCTCGTCATAAAATGAAGACAGGGGCCAAGTGACACATGAGATAATAGCGTCTTCCATGTGCTAAACGGTACAGTGTGTGCAAAAACTGTCTGCCCCTGTGTCAGAGCAGCCCAGGCCAGAAGGAATATGTCTGTATGTGCCCAGCTATTCCTTGTCTGTTATAAAGCAGTGACTAGTTCTTATTTTCCCCCAATAAAATCCAAAGAACCTGTGCTTCACTGAGACCTAATGCATGCCTCAAAATTACATCTTGCTTTGTTTGATCTCGCTTGTTATTTGACAAACCACAAAAATGCTGTTGTATCTTACTGTGGAGTTCCTTTCCTTTGTAAGGCAAGAAAAAAGTAACAGATATCCAAACAAGTACTTGCTTTTCTATGTTGTTTTTTTCTCTCCTCCCTTGTTATAGATGAGGAAATCGAGATCCCAAATGTTAGGAGACTGTGAAAGTTCTCCACCTCCGTGAGTTTGCCTAGTGACATAGCCCTAGGTGCCCTTGTCCAGTGTGAGTTTTCCTCCCCTGACCTGTTCATCAGGCTGTCTTGGGCTAGCTAGTCCTGGTTCCCAGAGGGGTGCATCTTGCTTAATACGATAAGTTTGGGTATCTAGTTAGGACATGACAGTCTTCACTGTGGAAGACTGTGGCTTTGCAGGGACGGGGGCTAGGAAGACACACATCAGCAAGGCCACCTACCTGTTTGCTGTTATAAAATCCATTCTTGTTGCAGTTTGGCAGATAAAATGTTTGAATTTCTTTTCCTTCCTCCTCTTGCTCCTTGGATAATTTCTCTAGCACTTGGTAGAGATCCTTCCGGCAGGGTTCCTAAAAGGGTAATTCGACATTAGGTTAAATGACAAGAGAAAGTGGATTATCAGCCTAGACTGGTGGTCCCCAACCTCTTTGGTATGAGGGACCAGTTTTGTGGAAGATAACATTCATTGTGTACTTTATTTCTATTGTTATCACATTGCAATATATTACAAAATAATTATATGACTCACCATTTTTAAAAAAAGAGGCATGAACAGAAGTGGTAAATAAAATAATGGGCAAGCCATACACGAACTGAAATAAGTTTCAGATCCTGACTTAAAGCCTACCACCAGATGCAGCGGTACAATTGAAGTATACCAACTCATTTGCTGCTCACTGATAGGGTTTTGATATGAGTCTGCAGCAACTGACTTATGATGGTCTCTGTGGAGTCAAGCGTCACTGCCAATGTCGATCTGTATTTGCAGTCACTTCCCAGCATGAGCTTCACTGCCTCAGCTCCACCTCCGATCATCAAGCATTAGATTCTCCTAAGGAGCGTGCAACCTAGATCCCTTGCAAGTGCAGTGCACAACAGCATTTGTGCTCCTCTGAGAATCTAACCCTGCCACTCATCTGACAAGGGGTTGGAGCACAGGCAGTAATGCAAGCAATGGAGCAGATATGAATACAGATGAAGCTTTGCTTGCTGATTCGCCACTCATCTCCTGCTGTGCTGCCCAGTTCCTGACAGGCCACGGACTAGTACCGGTCCATGGCCTAGGGGTTGGGGGCCCCTGGCCTAGACGATGATTGTTGGATGAAGATTTGTCTGAGCTGAGGACAGGAAGAGGAACAGCCCCACAACCTGGCCGTGGGGGCCTGGGACCAGGTGTCACGGGATGTGCCCCATCTGAATGTTGTTTTCCTGTGGTTAGTCTCTGCCTTGAGTTGTTAAGATAAAGGATGAGAAGACCATTCTCTGCCTCCATGAACAGTCTCTCAACACCTGCACGGAGACCTGCCCTGGCAAGAGCCTCGCCCACACCACAAAACTCTTCCCAACTCCTCCTGTCCCCTGCTGAATATTTTTGGCACCAGCTGATGGGTTGAAAAGTGGGCACAGCTGCTTGAATGAAGAATTCAGCAGCCGAGATTTCCAGATTTTGAGCAACTTTCCTCCGCAATCACAAGGTTATTTTGCACAAACCAAATCAAGTGAGGATGAAGGCACTCATTTGGATAATTTGGGATAAGACTTAACTTTCCTCCATTTGTATCATTTCCAAATAAAATTGTGAAGTGTCCAGAAAATAGATTCATCCTCTATTTTGCTGGGTGGTTTTCTTTCCCCCCAACCCCCCCCTGCACCCTCCCCCCCCCCACCGCCCATCGCCCACCCCCGGCCAAGCAACTCAAATCGCTCCAACTTTGATTCTCTGCCGCCCTCAAGTGGTAGAATTAAAAGCACACGTTAATTTAGATAGAAGGGGAGTTGGTGTTTAATGGGTTGAGTTTCAGTATGGAAAGATAAAGTTCTGAAAGCTAATATTGGTGATGGTTACAGAATAATGTGAATATACTTGATGCTACAAGCCTATGCTTCAAAATAATTAAAATAGCAAATTTCATTTTTTTGAAAGGGGCAGATGATACAAGGGTGGTGGGTTTGTTAGGCCCTTGTGCTGACCCCCATATTGCAGAAAAGAGCCCAGAGATATGAAGTAGTAACCTGCCTAACAGCACACATCTGGACTTGCATTTTCCTTGCATCCAATGAGTTTCTCTCCTGAAAGTCCTTGTGCTAACAGCTCGACAAGGCTAAGGTGAGAAATGTCTATCTGGCTTCAGGGGGAAAAAATGGTTTCTTTCTAGGGTATCAGAACCACGAAGAAGCAGACCAGGCCTGCTTGACACAGCTGACGCAGGCTACAGCCTCCAACAGGAGAGCTCCCGCCATCCACCCGCTGGGCCTCACCTTCCACTGTTTGAAGTCACTGGTCCCACGAGACTTCATGCTCCAATAGGCCTTGATGACATTCCCAAAGTTGGGCTGGTCCTCACTGGAAGGGGTCATCAGGTGGAAATTCTCCAGGAACTGCTCCTCGGTCATCTCTGTGCTCGCCTCTGGAAAAGAAACAGACCCATGAGCCCCCCCTCTAAAGCATCTGTCCTTGGCCCTCCTGAAAACCAAGCTGGGACATAAAGATGGACACATTTTTGTTCACCCGATTTCTGCTGACTCTTTTTGAATGAACTTCTGATGATTTCTGGAAAGAGAGATACCACAGTGGTAATACTCATTCTGTCCTGGACAACAGTGAATTTCGGGGTCTGGCAAGGAGGCCCTGTGTTTTTGCCTCTAAAGTAACACGAGAGGGGAGCAACGTACACATCAGCTGAGGCTAGGAACACACCTAAGGAAGTCAATGATTAACCCCATTAGTGGGGAGCCTTGAAACTCCAGCCTCTCCATCCTTAAAATGGGAACATCAGACCGGCTCAGAGGCTCAGTCTGTCATCCAAGCACTTTGGGAGGTGGAGGTGAGGGAACTGCCTGAGCCCACAGGTTCGAGAACAGCCTGGGCACTTTGGCGAGCCCTTGTCTCTATAATAAATAAAAAACTAGTCGGATGTGGTAGTGCTCACTGGTAGTTCTGGCTACTTGGAAGGCGGAGGTGGAAGAATCACTGGACCCCAGCAGATCGATGCTGGGGTGGCCGTGAGGGTGTCACTGCACTCCAGCCTGGGCAATGGAGTGAGACTCCGACTCAAAAGTAAAACAAAATGGAATGTCACTAGTACCTTATCTAGAAGTGGAGCTAGCATGCAGCTCTCCTGACCCAAAGAACCATCCTCCTTGGGGGCCCTGCCTTTCTGCATACTAAGTGACCTCTGCAACCCCCTCCAAGAGGAGGCGGAGTCACCACAGTCTTGCAGGTAGAGTTGAAGGGATCATGGACAAAGCTAGCTAAAAGGGACCCCCTGCGGAAATCCATCTCCTCTGAGGATCAACTCCATTGAATTTACTCTGAAGGGCAGAGAATCTGCAGGAAAACCACGTTCCCTCCTTAGAAGGGTCACACTTGCTCCCACACAGATTCCCATCAGGGTATGGAAGTCCTGATTCCTCCAAGAATCACACGGGACGTGCAGCCAGCCCTGATGAGGAGATAGGGGGCTGGAGTCGAGAAAGAGGCATTTCCTCTGCTTCCCACTACAAACAAATCGCTGCTTAAATTCAGGAAAGAACCTGATTGTCAAGTTCTCAGGGGGCAACATACACATCAAACACTGTTTTTCTATGGCAATGAATGGAAGTGAAGTTTTTAGCCTAAACTCTCACATTATGTTCTGTAAACATCTGGGAAGCACATACTGTATCCACAGGACGTATATTACAAAGGACATTCCAAAACACGTCCCGGGGGCCAGCAGGAGGGATCCCCATCTTAGGCTTTCCCGGATGTCCCAGACACTGGGGCTGCCCACGTGCTGGTCAGTGGGGGGCAGCCACCCCGCCTCCGCCCGTTCTCACTGCCTGGGTCGCTGGAGCGTGCCAAGTGAGAGCTCTCGCCCCAACTCTCCACTCAGCTGCGTGTGCCCTGAAGCCTCTCCCTTCTCCCGGGGCACCGCCTGCCAAGACCACACAAAGGTGGGCCTCCGCTGGCTGGCAAGCTCTTTGCCCTGCTACACGCTCTGGTTGCAAGCTCTGGCTGTGGGCCTCGGACAAGCCCCTGCCGGGCATCAGACCCGCCTATCTGTCCTGGGGACTGGGGAGTTGGGAAGGAGGGGGACGGTGGTACCTGCGCTGGGTGAGGAGTCCTCTCGCGTGCAGGCGCCCCGGCCGCGGGTGAGAGCCTGCAGGGGACGCGTTTCCCCGGGCAGCGCGCGGCAGCTGAGTCCTCGGGCGCAGCGCGCGGTGGCCACGCCGCACGAGGCCCCCAGCTGCAGGGCGCACACCGGGCAGCAGCCGCAGCCAGCCGAGCGGGTGATCTCCCGGCACGAGGCGGGCACCGGCGGGCAGAGCGCGAGCTTGTCGGGGGAGCAGGGCAAGCAGCGCCAAGGCTGGGTGGCCGCACTGGCCTGGACAGCCAGCAGGAGCAGGAGCGGCCAGACGCCGGCAGCCGGGACCTCAGGCATCTCCGGGCGCGGTAGCGGGCAGAAGCCGGTGCTCTTCGGGTGGGTGGCGGTGGCCGATGCTCGCTGAGCGGGTGGCGGTGGCCGATGCTCGCCGGGCACAGCGCGCGCCTTATAAAGGGCACCGGCCGCGGCCACTTACGCCAGGAGGTTAATGATTGACAGCGCCGCGCGCTGGGAGCCGGGTGTTCAAAATAAGTTTGTTTTGCTTGTGAGCCCAAGGCCCTGCGCAAACCGTAGGCGGAAGGAGGGCAAACGGTTCGGGTTGCAGGTTGTTTGTCCCGTTGTTGTGGGGTTCAGGCCCTGAGCTAAAGTCCAAGTCTAACAAGCGTGCAGCCAGGTGGAGAGTGACACTTGTTTTTGTTCAAGGGCATCCCAGACCTAGCCGCCCAGCGCTCTTACCAACCTAGGAGAAGCCTGAGAGACCAGCTGGGTAACACCAGTTCTCCTGCCAATTCTCAACTGGGGAGACCAAGATACGGGGCGAGGAAAGGTGGAACCGGGTTACAATTCAGGTCTCCCAAATCCTGGCAGGTTATCTGTGGCAAAACACAGAACGTCTTCTCCTTCTGCAGGAAGAAGTGCCTTGACCCACAAGGAAATTTGCAGCTCCTCTCAGAGCTCTGCCAAGCGCCCATCCCACTCCAGCTCCAAGAGACCAACCTTGTTAACTACCCCACCAGAGAGGAGAAGGCTCAGAGCCTCATGTAACAGAACCAAGGCTACAGCAGTGGGGCCAGGACCCCAAGGCACCTCTGATTTCCCGGCTTAGGTCAGATATTCATCAATAGTCAGATACTAGGGCTTTCTCTTTAGTTAAAATTGGGTCACAAGAAGAAAAGTCAGTATGCCTTCAAAGAAAATAAAAACTGGGCCCATCTCTAAGAGCATGATCAGGGAATGCTCCACGCTCCAGCCTGCCCCTTGGTCTCTCCTGTGTCCCCAGCCCTGCACTCCCCACCCCCACTATCTTTGTCACCTGGTCCAAGTACAGGCTCAGGGCTATTCCCATGTCACCCGGGCCTTCTGTTTGTCCTTCTATTTCTTTAGGAATGGTGTTTCAACTTGGGGTCTTGGAGATGGGCTGTCCAGCCCCTCACTTTACAGAGGAGGACACTGAGAGCAGAGAAGGAAGGACGTGGCCAGCTGGAGGTCACAGAGACTGTCAAGGCACATCTTGGACAAGAACCCACACTCCCGATGCCCTGTCACATGGTGCTGGTCACCATACTTCAGTCCTGAGTAAATGCCTTCCATTTGGTTAAAATGCTTTGAACAACACATGCACTGCTGAATTACCAAGTGATAGTCATTCTCACATTCAAGGAAGGGATCACTGGTGCTTTCTGCAGGGCAGGCGTGAGGGCAGGTGAAAATAGTGACTGCCCAGGATGGCTATCATCAATAACTCGAGAAACAACAGATGCCGGAGAGGATGCGGCAAAAGGGGAACATTTCTATACGTTGGTAGGAGTGTAAACTAGTACAGCCTCTGTGGAAGACAGTGTGGCAATTTCTAAAAGATCTAAAAATCGACCTTCCATATGACCCCGCAATCCCCCTACTGGGAATATACCCAAAAGAACTGAAATCACTCTATAAAAATGATACCTGCACACGTATATTTATTGCAGCATTGTTCACAATAGCAAGAACATGGAACCAACCATGCTGCCCATCGAAAAGGACTGGATAGATAAAATGTGGTACAAATACACGAAGGAATATTAAACAGCCATAAAGAAAAACAAAATCATGAACTTCACAGCAACTTGGATAGACTTAGAGTCTATAATACTGAGTGATCTTTCACAGAAACAAGGAATTGAGTATCACATGTTCTCACTCATAAGTGGACCTTGAACAATTATCATAATACTATAACCAAATGATTGGTGGCAACCCCCTGGGGTCCCTTCCTGCCCTGGGAGCTTTTCTGTCTTTTCAATAAATCCTGCTTTCTTATCTTCAAAAAAGAAAGAAAATGATTGGCAGTAGCGGGGAACTGCTGGGAGTGGGACAGAGAAGCAAGATTGGCAGTAGTGGGAATCTGCCCGGAGAAGTTGGGGGGCACACCTCATCAGCAAGGGTACCTGCATAATGAACATTTGTACACCTAACCCTACACTATACCCCACATCTTTAAAATAAATCTTAAAAATTAAAAGAAAGAAAATAGTGGCTGCCCTGGGATTCTGAAGCTGGGTTGGAGGGATCCGTGCTAACGGGGTCACCCTCCACTGTTCATCCTATACAGTGAGATCTGCGGGAGAGATCACTTCCCATTCACATGAAAAGATACATGAGGCCACCTCTGTTCTGAAGTCATACTGCAAACGACCTAAATATCCATCTCTAGGTGCTGGATAAATATCTCCGGGGCATTCTGCCTCTGGAAAGCAAGTGGCTATTAACAAGAAAGGGCAGCTCTGGTTTTCTGCTGGAGAAAAATCTCCAGGATAAGTGTAGTTATACAGCTTAAGTAAAATGCCCCAATAAAGGCTACATGAGCAGGTACAGGATGTGTTCTTGTTTGTGTACGACAAAAGTAACATGAGTATTATGTAGCTGTGATTCTAAATTTATTGACTGTCTCGAGAAGAATACATGGGAAACTGATAGCAGTGCCCACTTGTGGATGGTGGTGGGTCGTGAAATTGCATGACTGATGGACAGATGGGTTTTTCCTGCATACCCTTTGTTTCATGTTCTGGATTTGTAGCAGATACTTAGGCTATCTATTACATTATCTATCTAAAGAATAACCCAATTCAAATTAACTTGCTACCACTTTTTCTCACCGCTTTCCTGGTGTGGTGGCCTTGGGGAAGTGACTTGGATGTGCCTTGCTGGCTTTCGTTCTACCTGTAAAGTCTCTCAATGGTCACAGCACCAGCATCTCCTCAGCACCCATCAAAATAAGGTCAATGAAAGTAATTGTGGTTGGAAGTTTATGATTGTGCTTTCATTATTTTTTTTAATTTGTTATCTGGTTCAGGAACCAACTGACGATTTTGAATTTGTTAATGTTATTTTTGGTGTAGCACCCTAAACAATTTCATTTCCTGAAGAATGTGTGCTGAATTTTCTGATTTCCTCATCTGACAATCAGCGTCCACATTTGAAATGTTTTCTTAATGAAACACATAAAAGAGGCAATCCTTCAGTAAATATTTGGGGCCCACCTGCTGTGTGCCAGACACTTTGCCTGTCCCTGGACAGATCACCCAGTTGTGCACTTGCCTGGCCCCCATCCCACCTGTGCTCCCTGAGGTCTCATTTGTCCTATACATAGTGAAAATTCCTCCAGTCAAGGATCCATTTCCCAGATGTTTCCGTTGCTTGCCTCATAGAAACAGCAAACCAATCAGCCCCCAACCCAAAGACAGATTCTCCTTCTACTCCCAAACTTCAGCAACACAAATGGAGCCAGGACCCTTCCTCGAGGCCCAAGAAGGCCATCGGTCCATCCACACTGTGTGGGGGTGAGCGGCCCTGTCCTGGCAGGTCGGAGTCACAGCAGAGGTCGCTGCTTGGCGATTTCTGGGTGCAACTGTGACTCCCCAGACCCCACTGCCCTGTCAGGAGTGAGTCACTCCCTGGCCTGGCTTCTATGCTGCCTGTGATCTGACTCCCAGGCCCAGCGAGGGCTATGGTGAGGTAAGAGAGGCACCCAGAAGGAAACTTGAAATAAGACACATCTCTCAGGACTGGGAAGTGCAGGGTGTGCCCTGGGAGACAAGGCCTCCTGATCCACAGCACCTCGGCCTTAGCTGACCTAACCCTAATCCCAACTGTGACTTCTGCTCATTTTCCAACTTTTATGTTCCCTTTCCCTCACTGACAGCAAAAACAAACAGCTTCATCTCCACACTCCTACGACTTTGATCTTGCTGTTCTTGGTGCTTGAACGTCCACCACTGTGTTATCCTTATGGCTCAAGTCCAAAGTCTCTCCCGTTCATTCCAGAAGCTCTTTCTTCCTGGACTCCATCCTGATATCCCCCTCTCCTGAGGCCACTCCCTCGGAATGAGTTGTTCTTCTTTCCAGCTTCCCCACAGGGCATTCCTGAACTTCTGTCTGTTCTTTTCCTCACCCAACAGTGACCACAGCAGAGCAGAGGGGAGCTACCCTTTCAATGTAGGGGTAGGTATGCAGCTGGGCATGGGGGAGAGGGGTGATGGGATGCCCCACACTGAGCCTGATCTTGCACGCTTACTGTCTAGCAAGAGGATGTTCTGTCGTGGGCTACTTGTAAGCTTACCTTTAGGATAAGTGTGGTAAGAAGAAAGGGCGTCTAGCCGAGCATGCCAAGCACCTTTCAGAGAGGCTTCAGACCAAGGCTGGTCTTGGAGGATAAATAGTATTCCCCCAACAGCAAAGGGTAGGAGGAGCAGTATGGTAGCGCAGAGACAGCAGTAGGGTGCGGTCAGGGAACTGAGAAGAGTGATGTGTTCAGGAAACAGCCAGCAGTTCTTCCTGCTGGGAGCTGGAGTAATGCGGCAGAGAGCAGACACAGAGGAGTCACCTGCACAACCATGTGCTTCCGTTTTGTCTTTAGGAAGTCATCATTGTCTCCATGGGGTCCTGACTACCCAAAGGTTGAGGCCCATCCTGAGGCTCAGTTATATCCTGGTGGCGTTTTTCCTCCCTCTACATCCCTCAGGATCCACCCTAAATGTTTTCTCCTCTGCACAGCCTTCCTAAGATTCCAGGGACACTTTGGTGGCTCCCTGTGCATATCCGAAGCATGATGACATATCATGTCATAGTCATGCTGAAGAGCTAAATAGACCCACGTCTACATGTGTGTGTGTACGCGCGCGCGTGTGTGTGTGTGTGTGTGTGTCTCACCAGGTGGCATGGACAGGGGACGAGTGCACAGGTGTCCCTCCGCCCAGCACCATGACCAGGACAACAGTGGGTACCCTGCCCAACTGATGAACAACTGTGAATCCAAGGTCCCAGGGTATTGGGACAGGGGATGTCTGGGGAGGGGGAGT